TCATCTTTTTGCTCAGCTCTGGGGCAGGCAGGAACCTCAAACTGACAGCAGAAGTAGTAACTTGAAAGTTGCTGACCACTGCTGTTCTCACGCAGTGCACCAAGGATGAGCAAGGCTAAAACCAGCAGCTGATGAAGATGATGCTCTGCTTTCTTCAGGCAATCACCTACTCACACCCAGTCCTGCAATTAAGTGGAGCCAGCAAGAGTGGCATGAGGTATAGGGCACTCCCTGAACATCTCCAACCATAAACAGAAGACAAGGGCACGTTTCCATATAGGTCTCTGGGATGGTAAAACATTCACCCTGCGATAAGCCAGAGGGTAGAGGGAGTGGCAGGGCACATCTAACCTTTTCACTGACCAAACTAGAATGATAGCACCCTCTTTAAAACAGACACCAGAGATAAACTCAAGGTGGGTTATGGAAACGATCCACACATACAACCCTACATCTCTGCCTTGCAGGTCTTTTGACCTTGCAGCATTAAAGCGGGGGTGATGGGTGTTTTGCTTTTCTGTAGACTTCATCCTCTGCAAGAAAGGCAGGGACCACACACCACGCCAGACCAGTTTGTGGACCTCCTGTTCTCACAGCTTGGCACTTGCTTACAGAAAGTTGCTCGTGATTCAGAAGGGAGGCAGGAAACACCGTGGTGCACCCCGTCACCTGCTCCATAGGAGTGCAAGAAGAAGAGAGCTCTCTTTGATTTCACCTGCCCTTGGTTACTGCACCAGATTACGTGATTGTCCCTCTCAGCAGAAGACTACCATCCAGAAAGTTACCCTGTTCCTTTTTAAAGCCATTTGCTGTTTCCTGGCTTTTTCATCACCACCTAGGAAGACTAGAGTAAGTGCCATTCATGAACAAGTAGTAAGGAACTGTTCCTCCCACGTCCCTCCTGCGAGAAGCCTTCGCATTGTTTCAGGTCCTCTCTGCAAACCACAGAGGAAGCCTGGCAAACGTCTCCTACAATAGGTACTCCACAGCACAACCACAGGTCCAGCATAGCTAGAAGAGAGACTGTTTCCATATCATTAACAACACCAGAAATCCTGAAAGATTTAAGTTCTGTGTTCTGCTAAATGCAAATACACGCGAGCCGTGCAGGTGTAGCTGTTAACATCGTGGTAATGGTGCAGTCAGTGTCGGCAGATGCAGAGCATGGCCACTCCTGCACAAGTAATTCTGGGACCCTGAAGACAAGGAGCCCACATACATATAACTGCTGGTAAATCAAGGCCTTGTTGATAAAACAGAAGCATGTCATTTTGCCCAGCCACTTTATAATGTTGTCTTTCATGAGGCAAATATTCAGCAGAATGATGGTCTATGTAAAGCAATATTCGTGGTAGAGAGCTCCTGAGAAGACTAATCCTACCACCCACTGCAGGCTGGAATCCGCAGAGGCTCCTTCATAACTAAACTAGTTTAAAATCCATGCAGAACCAGGTCCAAGTCCAGAAGAACTGTGATTTCTTAGACTACGGAGTGCTGGAAGACCTATCCCTCAAGAATGCAGAGAACTTAAGAACTGCATTAGCCTTAAGCCATCAGTACCAAACATCTTATTGACTGTGACGAAAATTGCCATGAACGAAGATGACAGAATCGGTCGCCAGCCCCCACATACATGTGTTGCATGTTTTTCTTGAGTATCCTAGTTATGCATTATTATTACAATTTGCAATCCTAAACTGTGCTGACCTTAAATTTCTGTTAATTACCACTGCAACGGTGATTATCACCCAGCCTCAAATAAATATCTAGCCTAGGCATCGGTCCCCTCATAATCAATGAAGAACTGGTAAGTAATGAACTTCTAACGTAATCCAGCTTTCACAAAAATCAGTATTAAGCATCTACTCCGGTAATTTCACCTAGGCACAGAATTCACAAGAACTCTGATGCTGCTCTCAGCTTTCATGTCCCACCTCTCTCTTCAAATTGCTCTGTAAAACAACTCAATCTCTGACTGTCAACCGGACTTAAGATAGATTCAAAGCTTCAGTATCTAATCCACGCTGTCGTGAGCACTACACGAGCAAGCATGCTTGATAGACAAAAGCTTTTTTGTTTTTTCCACACCTCTTGTAGTGTTTTTTTCCACCACTACTTTTCACATCTGCTGGGTTTGGGTCCGGCAGTCCCTGACTTGATGAATTTCCACATATATTCTGACCTGACGTGTCTTTAACCTCAAGTGGACTGTCAAGCCAAATGCCAGATGTCCCCTTACTTCCTCGGTGCAAACTATCAGTAAACCTTAGCATAACTTTACTTTGAGCCTTAAACTAACAGAATGTGAAAAGATTAATATGAATAAATTCAAAACTAATCAGATCCCTTCTTTAAATGTTGACACAGTATTATTTATATCCCATAAATACCTTCTTGACTAAAATTCATCCCAGGAGATTGGCATCTTGCCAGTTCTATTCATATTTACTGTATTTATACAGTACAGTTGGCCAAGGATAATATTTAAGACAAAATATGCCTTAGGGTATATACAATATCTCTTATAGTTTTCCTTTTAAATCTCCTCATTGCTAAAAATATTTAGTCTGAACTTTACAAAATGCCCCACAAAGACCTATCAGCAATCTGTAGTGATATATCGCTGGCTATGAGTATAATTAGAGCATATTTGTAATACTTGGGTTGTAGTCAGTTACTGAATGCTAACAACTTGTGGTAAAAATTGAACCACTGATCTTTCCCATGCCTTCCTTCCAGCAGCTTTTGACCTCCAGTGCGTTCACACTGATCCCCTTCTCCCTCCTGCCTCCCTTCGATGCAGCAGAAACCGTAGAGTTAAAAAAATTCACTCCGAGACGTCTCTCCGAGAAAGCGCCCGTGGCCGCCAGCTCCGCGCTTTCAATTTCTTCCTTTAAAATATGGTGGAGCAATTCCTTCCTTTCTGTCTTTTTTGGAAAGGTTCGCTCCATCCAGCGTAACTAGAGAGCAGTGGAAAAACAGTTAACCTACTTACTCTGATGCTAGCGACAGCCCTTGCACAGTAGTGCTGGATCTGCTGCTAACTGGCCCTCCGATCCCAAACATCTGATGCACTCTGTTGGTAGATACCTGCAATCTCCTTTCGCTCTTCCAAAACCTCTATCGATACTTCTGCACAAATCTGGCCTCTGACAACGTTTTAAAAATAGATTCTCTTTTGTCAACACCATCCAAGTCACACACCACAGACATTTTAATTTTCTGGAAAGTATGCGGCTGCATTTTGGACTATTGGTTCTTCGTAGTTTGCACATGTGAGGAAAAAGGGCAGATGTGCTCGCGACGGATTAATTTTACAACTCTTGAGGACTCTGTGTTACACGGTCAACTCCTCAAGCCAAGGCACTGCTGTCAGTATTCCTAAACCCTTGCCCATAAGGTGCTCATTCACTCTGCTCAGGGCATTGTCTGGTAGGTCCCAAAACAAAGTGCTGACTTCTACCAAAATACCAGCAGTGTACCAACGTGGAAAGCAGGCATGCTTTCTGTGTTCTCGTTACGGCTATAAATTTTACTGAACCACTCTGCCCATACCCACTTGGCTCTGAGTACATTTTTTTTTTTCTTTTGAAAAAAAGTATTTCTTCCCCAAGGGTAACAAGGGTGGAGTGTATTTATCATGGCTGTTACGGATGGTGCCATAATTACAATAATAAAATGGCTCTGACTGCCAGGATGTCCCGTACCTGATGCTGTCATTTAAGAATAAAGGAAGAAAGGGAGGCAGCTGCACTGAGCGCGGGGTTCAGATACCTTGGCTGGCATCCTAGGACTATCACATGCAAGACGCAGCAAGCCCCGAAGCTACAACTTGCTAAACTAAAAATAAATAAGGGGAAAATGCAATTAGAAACTCTAGGATAAAGTTACCAAGATGGCTGCATTATCTATTTAAGCAAGAGGTATGTGCTTTTCAAAAACAGACAGCAAGTATATAGGGCATCAAGTGGCGGGGGAGGGAAAAGAGAGAAAACCGAGCTACACGAGAAGAGTAGGGACTAAGTTTTGGATATGTGAACAGTGAAGTTATTTTCTGCTTCTGGTATTTCACTTTCCTCGGTATGATGATGATCTAGATTCTTTTAAGGGAATGTGGTGGTTTTTCTTTTTTTTTATTTTTTTCCTATGCACTTAAAACTTCACTACCAAAAGAAAAGGCACGTCATTACAATTATTAATCATTCTAAGTGGATTTGGTCAGCACAGAGCATTTGTAAACTTTTTTTTTTTTTTGAGCAAAACGTGGCATGGATCACCAGAAGGTCGTTAAAAACAGCAAAACGCAGACAGGCTGAGGCAGGTTCCAAGAACCGAGGCTACCCAGAAGGGAAAACTTTTTCTGTACCTGAAATGAAAGTGCCCAGGAGCTGAAACGAGTGGCTAGTTAAAGTGGGAAGAGGAGGGAGGACGTCTACATCTCCGTCCTCTCCGAGCACCAATCTGAATAGCGGTCTGCGGGACAGTGTTCTGGAGGGGCATAGATAGGAGAGGAGACGGTGATATTTTTCTATTTTAAAGACTTCCCTTTCTTTTTGGTTCCGGAGAGATGGAAATCTGCCCAATCCACACGCTCCAAGGGAAACAACAGCAGTGGAAAGATAGTGGGTTCTTTCTGGAGGCTGCACACGGGGCTTCAGGGCAGCTAAACGCAGTGTTGGGGAGCGGGATCCCAGGCAGGGAGGGGGGAGCTTTGCTCAAGTACCTGGTGGTGGCAAGCAGAGGGACTCGTGGGTGACTTCGAAGGGGATCGGAAACTTCTCGAGCCTGGAGGGACAGTTGAGCCCTCCGATCCACCCGCCCAAGCCTATGTACATACCCTGCCACCTAAACGAAACCCTGGGAGGCACCACCTCGGAGATGCGGAGGAGAAGAGCAAAGGAGGCAGATTACACTGCGCAGGGCTGGTATTTGAAGGCACTGGGCACTGCCAAGCCTCGGGGGCAAAATTACATGCACATGGACAAACACAGAGGACTTACTTTCGGGGTAAAAAGGCTGCATGTCTATTTTGTATACTTCTTTGGCATAATACTCCTCGGCGCTCCTCTCCCTTTCGCAAGTGGCGGCTCTGTGGTTGGCTTTCTCTTGCAGCAGGTCCCTGGTGCTGTTGTAGATGGAGATGACCTCCGGGGGCACCTCCTCGGGCTCAGGGTACTCATCCGGGGGGCTGGTGAGCTTCAGTTTGCTCAAGATCTGCCCCCGGATCGCCTCGATCCTCTTGCGCATAAACTGATCCATGTCGAGGGTGCTGCAGGTAGACAGGCTGAGAGCCACGGTGGCCAGATCCACGGTGAGAAACACGCTCAGGAGATAGCAGTGCATTTTAAGTGTTTAAATACAGCGCCCCCCGAAAAAAGAGTGATTTTAACAACGAACGGCAACAACGATTAAAAAAATAAAAAAATAAAAAGAGGATGTGTGCAAACAAAGGGAAAATCTGCAGACAAAATGCAGTTAAAAACCGGACTGCAAGGGTGACTTGCAATCGAAAAACGTACGGGAGGCGTCTGTGAAAAAAAACTCGATAATAATTAAAAAAAAAAAAAAGGAGCAGCAAGTTGCTACAGCGAAACAAAATTCGTGAGCGGAGTGAGCCGGACAGCGAAAAAAGGGGAAGAAAAAAATAAAAAAACAACCCCAACCAGACAAACAAACCTGTGAATCAAGTAAATGGAAGAGAGACTGCTCTCAGCGCGCTGGCGGAGCCGGCTGGAAAACCAAAAATTGCAAGTTAAAAAA